CCAATAAAGCTTTAATAAATTTTCCGTACGCTAAAGTAAAAATTCATATTGCGTAGTTTATCTGAATTGTTTTTCCTCGTTGAGTTCCCATTAAAATTTCCTTTTGTCCGGTACTTTTCGCTGTTGTATTGTCATTCGTTTATTATTAATTTTTGTCGAATACGTCAACCAACCCAGTACATTTACTTCCTACCATTTGGCGCCTCCATATCTGTCAAGTTTCATTTCGTATTTCGTGCATGCATTTTTACGCGAGTATATTTATTTATTTGTGTATGTATGTGAAGACGTTTTTGCATACATATATTGGGTTAATTGCCTCTCATCGGATACCAGCTGTTCTTTGTTTATTTGCTTAATACATATAATATTGTATTCCTGTTTTTTCTTCTTTTTTATCGTGTGTGTGTTAATATTCTTTGTTATTATTTTGAATCGTGCTAATAACTTATGTGTATTTAGGATATGGCTTTGTCATGCTCTTCGCATTCTACAAAAAAAATTATCGCAAGGTACTTGGAAGTTTATTGAATTTCACTATATTACTTAATAATATAATAAAGAAGAGAATATGGCATGGTTATATGTATGCCTAACAAGTTCTGGAGACACAAGTCAAATTTTAGGTTAAAATTAAAATTTGTAGGGCTTAAATCCAGAGGTCGAAAATAAACCTCTCCCAAAATAACCGTCACTATTTAAGAGAAAAAATAACCCACAAAACAGAACAGGTGGCAAGAACGATAGAATACAAGATTGTGCTAATCGATCTGAGAGCAACTGGGTCTGACGTCACTTTATTTTGAGAATGAGAGTTTAAAGAATATTTTTGAAGAATAAGAGGAAGAAGTGATGTAAAACTAGGTTGAATTGTACCTACTCTTCAGCTTCTTGAATTTGAACGTACATTCGGTACAAGTACATTATTTGAAGTACATTTGGAACGTAGTAAAATATTGTTTCATATAAGTAGAAAAATTGTTATGGTACAAAAGGAAGATGTAGTCCACCCACTACCAAAAATGTATGCACATAAAAATACATACATGTTTCCTGTTTAGGTACGTATATCTACATTTAGGTACAACTTTTCGACAAAATGGTACAATATGAAAATTTAGTACTCATCACTAGTGCAAAAAAATAACAATGTGACGTCGGCGAAAGGGTGGATGCTGTCGAATCGAGAAAGAGAGGACTAACGGTCCGCGGAAGGCGCCACCTTTGTTTCGCTGCATCGTGTGCTTAGCCGCACAAGATAGCGATTTGAGCGAGACGAACGCAAATGTATAACACCTTTAATTGCATCATGTAGCAAATTAGCCGAAACGAAATGGATATACTAACACGAATCAACTAGAAAATGGAATGTAAAAATAGAGAAAAGCTCACATCACAATTGTCTAATTGAAAATGGTATATAAAAATTTATACGGCTTTCCCACGGCACCCCAATTACGTAGTTCGCTCTCTCATTCGTAATTCGCACTCCAATTACCCTTCGAAGTACGTAATTCGCCATACAAAATTTTGAGAGCGAATTACCTCATTTGTTGGTAATTCAGATCAAATTACCATACGAATTACGAACCAATCGGTGCCGTCTCTAATTTTTATCGGAAATTTATCGAAACTAGCTCACAAATCAAAACTAGCATTTTTTCTGAGTACGAAAAGTAATGTTTATAAATGTGAATATCCCTAATTTAACACGGAAACTTATAAATTTTTAGGAATAACCTAAATTTTTCGTCAATTTTGCAGCGAAGAAAACAAAAACAAAACACACGAGACAGAGAACTGTCAAATCGATTTAAGAATGTGCTCGTGGGAATGGGGTAATTCGCGATCGTAATTGGGGGAGCGAACAAAGTAATTCAGGATGCCGTGGGAAAATGGTATAACAGAAAATTAGGGATTTGCCATCCATCAACCACATTGTAAAATGACTAAAATTCTGAAATGTGGTAGGTGTTTAGCTTACAGTGGCCACACACGAAGAACATGTGTGCTGGGCTTGCAGTGCATGCTCGTCGTTTGTGGGGTGGTTTGCGAACATAACATTGGAGGTAAAAACAACAACCTTTGTGTTGTGTTGATGCTTGCAGTGTGCACATCAGCGGATAAATGCATCCAAGCCAAAAAAATAGAGTTATCGATAAAAGTAAAGTTGTGGGTTATTGATTTATCGGCCAACAAGTTGACCAACTTAACGAAATTCTCTATAAATGCACGAACCGGTTGCTCGATTTCATGCGAATAACACTTTTCGGACTGAGAGCGAACTCATAATCAACTTTAGTTTTAGAAACTAAAATTAAAATTAAAATGCTTGGAATTGGGATGAAACGTTTGTGAAATTTTAATAATTTTTGTACTAAGTCTGAAATTTAGATTTATATGGTATTTGTTGGATAAAGAGCTATACTTTTATTTATATACATATAATGAACCTTAAAAAAAGCTGAAGGAAAGTCGTCAAAACTGGTAGAAATCTTGATGTGCTTGCTATCTTTTGTCGCGGGGTGTACATAACCTGTGGGTCAATTCTCGTTCTGCGTTATTGTGCAGTGATAAAAACTTTTACACCTCACTTATTTCGGTGTGAATTTTTGATTTTTCACTTCACGATAACGCAGAACGGGAATTGACCCCCAGTATACATTATAAAAAGCTGCCAAATCGGCTTATAAATAAGTTAGATATAGGACTTTTATATTTTTTTACGCGGTAATTATTTTCCATCGCATGCGTCAGCTTTAAGTAAATTGCGTTTCCAATACTAGGAAATTTCCTCATCGCACTATTGTGTATTCCTTAGAACAAGTACTACTTTTTTATCGATTTCCTTAAACCACATGTTTTCTATTTGTCCAATTCTACGTTCACGCCACTCGTTTGCTTCATCTTCATATGTATCTGCTTACTTGAAACTAAATAAACGTTTTACCTTTCTGACGCGCTGCACTTTACATAGACGCCTCTCGAAAACGCCACCGCCATTTGAAATATGTAAACAAAATGCGTCTTTTTTGGGGTATTTCAGTTTTTTCTAGCGCTTTGTTTACAAATTTGTTTTGGCTCACCTCATTTCTTTTTTTTTTTCTATTTTTACATGTCTTCTGTTTATTTCTCATTGATTCTTATGCACCAGCTGCTCTTTTACGTTTTTTCACCACAATTTTGTTTTCAACTGCAAAGTTTATTGAACGCCACGAGCAGATAGATACATACAGTTTTGCTGCAAAAACTAAAAAGCTAGTTCATTCGCATTTTTCACAAGAATCCATTCATGGCATTTCTCAGCTGTCATTCGGCGATATGCTTCTTTCTAAGTAAAAGATAAGTCGCAGCCGGTTTTTCGCAGGCAAGTGGCGATTTTTTAACACTGTATTTAACATTTATTTGTGGGAGTGTACAAGCCAGACAAATATTTATGTGTACATAGTTGAGTCTGAACAAAATCGGCACGATTAACACTCTCACATCTACATATGTAAGCTCTCTCGCTAATTCTATAACCTATTTCCTTGGATCTCTCCCTTCTCTGCTTTGCTTATCTAAATTCTGTCGCCTACTGCGTAGTAGTTTGCTTACACGTTTTACCAATCCATTGATAATGAAATGACGTTATTTCATCGCGGTTCATCGCGAAATGCTGGCGTCTTTGGCGTTTGCTTCGTATTAGAAATCAGAAATCAATTCATGATTAATTCTTTGCTATTTTTAAACACCACAAATTACACTATGCTAGTAAAAAAAAAAAATAAATGAACAACCCGACGGCCTACCTAGTAAAGTCAACTCGGGTTTTTTGGTGCGAGGAATTCGAATTTGACATTTAATTTTGCGAACCGAGAAATATTTAATACAGCTTTCATTCAAAAAACAACCTCTCTGAAGTTGGCAGGATAACTTTTCCCCAAAACGAAAATTCCTATCGGATGCATATAAGAACAAGGTTTATACTTGGGCCTTCAACAAGTGCTGCTAAAAGTCTTATAATTACGGTGACCAGATTTCTGTGGACAAAAATTGGGATATTTGTAATGCATCGAATCCGAATATACAATTTTGTTTTTAGAATAAAAAAGATTTAACATTTAATACAGTTTTATTTAAAACAAAACAAAGAGCAAAAACTTGAAAAATTTTCGCCAAAATGTATACACATAATATGGCAAGAATGTCAATAGAAAAGATACTTTTTGGCAAGATTTGGCTACTTTTCTTTGTTTAAAAAATGTTTTTTTATTTTTTTATGAAATTATAGCTTACTATCTAAATAAACTATGTAAATCAAAATTTCAAAACTTTGAATTTTAACAAATGCTGATAAAAATTTTAAACAGATTTTTTAAAATTGTTTTGAGTATGCCCCATGCAATTCAAAGTGCAAGTTTGAAGTACCTTGGACTTTTTGGCAATTTTTTTGTTCGTGCGTTTTCTTCCATACAAAGTATATTCGACATTTTTTTTTGTATGGAGAAAATGAGCTATACTTTCCACAAAAAAAATTTACCAAAAACCAACTTTGAATTGAATGGACTACAAAACTGCACACCCGACATGTTTCACGTGTGTCAAGTTAGCACTACACTTTTCGAAATTGGAAAAGTTAACTACGGCATTAATTGTAGTGTTTTTGTTGTAAATTTGTTGTGGAAAGAAAAAA